TCCTCCCTAGTGGAACTACAACCACCACACGTCCCTAATAAGACGTCAGCCTGTTGGAATAACCTCCTCGAGATGAAGATTAATCTTGTCATCCCCTCAGATTCCCAGCTTCCGCTGATGTCTCTGCCGCCTCTGAGGACAAGAGGCTACAGTGGCCGGAAGACAGAGAGCCAATAAACGTAGGTAATACATAGACGCTCAATGCAACGTATTAAGCCACGATGTGTTGTATACTGATACATACAATACTTGCCAGATGATGAATAAAACACATGTGCAACATTTGGCTATTTTTATTACCAAAATAAAGCAGATAACACGAACCCTTTTCCACAATAAAGATACCCAAATGTTGCACATGTGTCTCATTCATCAGATATCATCATGAGTGATGTTATATCATCAGATATAACATCACTCATGTGGTCATCGTATAAAAAAAATTGCATGTAGAGTGCATGCAATAAACAACGCCTTAGTCTCTAGTTCCGTACTCAAACATTCGCAGAATTTCTTGCTGCGTTCCATCTATATTACTGTAATTTCACTTCAGTGACATGCAAACTGTGAAGCGTTGAGGAATTATCTTAATGATGGTGTTGTTTGTACCCGAGAGATTAGTAGTCCATCAAAGTTTTGGATTTTGAAACAACGGCCATTTCAACACCGACTCATCCTGCTATCTAGCCTAACAGAGAGGCTATTACAGCTCTGATGCTCTCAGAGCAAAGCCCTGAAATTCGGTAGCGAGGCAGTCCACGGTAGCGAGGCAGTCCACGGTAGCGAGGCAGTCCACGGTAGCGAGGCAGTCCACGGTAGCGAGGCGGTCCACGATAGCGAGGCAGTCCACGGTAGCGAGGCAGTCCACGGTAGCGAGGCAGTCCACGATAGCGAGGCAGTCCACGGTAGCGAGGCAGTCCACGGTAGCGAGGCAGTCCACGGTAGCGAGGCAGTCCACGGTAGCGAGGCAGTCCACGGTAGCGAGGCAGTCCACGATAGCGAGGCAGTCCACGGTAGCGAGGCAGTCCACGGTTACGAGGCAGTCCGATAGCGAGGCGGTCCACGGTAGCGAGGCAGTCCACGGTAGCGGGCAGTCCACGGTAGCGAGGCAGTCCACGCTAGCGAGGCAGTCCACGGTAGCGAGGCAGTCCACGGTAGCGAGGCAGTCCACGGTAGCGAGGCAGTCCACGCTAGCGAGGCAGTCCACGGTAGCGAGGCAGTCCACGGTAGCGAGTACTCTGATGGTCAAACATGGTATCAAATACGGACAAAATGCAAATATGACCCACGAACAGCAGGAGGACACTTAACGTGGAATTTTTCGCTCACTGTGAACCTTGTCAATTCGATTAACAAGACACATCTTGATTGGTACGACGTTTTGCCAACACTGAATTCTTTTCACTTTAACAGTGGCAACTGTTACACTGCAGATGTGATTATACTGTTAGCAGTATAACATCCTCTACTGTATTAGACTGAAGAAGCGTTGTGAACAGGCGAAACATCTCGTCAGTAAAGACACCCATGTGTTACACATGTGTCTTGTTGTAATAATAATATAATATAATAATGTCTTTATTTCTACAAGTACAAGTACAAGGTCCTTGTGACATTAATGACATTTTACTATATAGACAGTCGCTTGTTATGCTGAGAATTTCGGGAAAAATTAAGTCAGTTTTGTCCCAGGATGCGACCCACACCAGTCGACTAACACCCAGGTACCCATTTTACTGATGGGTGAACATAGACAACCGGTGTAAGGAAACACGTCCAATGTTTCCACCCCTTCGCCGGGAATCGAACCCGGACACTCACCGTGTGAAGCGAGAGCTTTCACCTTCAGCCCACGAGGCGTAGTGACATTAATAATAAGTAATTCATAATTTATTCAGCGGATTGCTACCACACCCAGGATGCGACCCACAACAGTCAGCCAGAAAACAGGTACCTAGCTACTTACTACTAGGTAAATAGGAGCAACAAGCGTTAAGAGATTTATCTATAGTCTTGATTTCCCCCCCCCCTCAATATTTAACCTGGACCTTCGCTTGTAAGCCAGAAGAATTCTACGTGCTCTTTGACAGGACAGTCAATAGAAAATGTCGCTATACTGGAAGATGTAGAGAGAGCCTGGAGACCGCTGCTTCTCCTTGAGGTGTCTCCTAGTACTGGAGACCTGAGGAGGTTCTGAGTAAGCAGGTGTTCTGTTTCCTCCAAAAGTAGTAAATTGTAAACAGAATTCTCGAACAATTGTGGAGGAAAATGATCTGTCTATATATATATAATATATATTATATATATATATATATATATATATATATATATATATATATATATATATATATATATATATATTAATATATATATATATAATAATATATATATATATATATATATATATATATATTATATATTATATATATATATATATATATATATATATATAATATATATATTATATATATATATAAATTATTTTCGTATTGATAAGAGGCAGAAGGGGGCAACTCTGTACACTGAGCGCCCCTTCAACGTACTAAAGCTCTTTTCTGTTTCCTACGAATATAACGCTGATCGCTAAACATGAAAGGAAAAGAAAATATTTACACAACGAGAGGTTGTTGTGGGTAAACTTTGTCCCAAGACTCTGATCCAACAGGATTTCAAGAATAAATATTGGATCAACTTAGTGCTGTATGAGGTTCGAACTTTAACCCGGGTTGAACCCTGGGCGAGGTGGGACGAGTGGTCACTCGTCCCACTTGCTGCCTGGGTTACCTAAGAGTTAAACTGTTGTAAAATCGCAATGGAAACAAGCCACACTGCTTGGCTTCCCATGGCTTATCTTGGGTTATTAGTCCTGAAGGGTGATTAATCCTCCTGGATACTAAATCTCCGATGGTACTAATTCTACGGGATTACTTGTTAAAAAGAAAAAATCTCCTACTGTCATGTCATATTCCAGCATTTTATCTTAGTGCTGGTGGATGGAAGAAGCAGCAAACCCTCAAGTTGTAGTTGCAAGGATAGAGTCTCAGCTCCTGGCCCCACCTCTTCGCTAGTCGCTACTAGGTCCACTTTCTCTCTCTCGCACCTCTTCTTAAAGCTATATGTATGGATCCTGTTTCCGCTACTTCGTTCACGAAATGATGGACAACGTTTCGTTCAAAAGCAGCGCCATCAACTTGATGTAACTTCCCACGAGCGAAACATGACAATGATAAAACCTCAGTCTGTGTCATGCGTGTTTCCACCCAGCTTAGTGCTGCATGATCTTAGGATACCTTAAAGCATCCTACTGCCTGTGATCTCCCGCGAGACACAGCCTCCCCGTGCCCTCTAGCACCCGCAGACGCCAACAGCATCAAAGCGTTGCGAGTTAGTGGTGGTTTCTTTGTGCTAATAGAGCTTTTGTTCCTCTTGACAACCTTGCTTTTATTACCAACCTTTTTTTTCATTTTTTAATCTCCGGCCGGAGTACAGATCGGCCACATCCAACCATCCAGTTCCCGATAATTTTGACCGTCGTTCTGACGTTGAAATTTCAAACGAAATGCGATTACATTATTTGTCATGGACATAATGACCATTTGCGTTTTATTTTGTTACAATGACGCAGAAAATAAATATCAGAACACGGAGTCGTAATTTGAACAATTAAAAGCATTTCATTTAAACTCAAACACGAAATATTAATTTGAAATGTACTATTACGATACACCCACCATAAAAAAATATCTGGATGCGTATTCTCATTCGCCTGAATATTCCAATACGAATAATTGCAAAAGTTTAACAGGGGGTAAAACATGACGAGGGAGAGGGAAAAAAGGCAGAGTGGACCACCAGAGTATCACACCAGAGCAATTATACCACCACACACACACACACACACACACACACACACACACACACACACACACACACACACACACACACACACACACACACACACACACACACACACACACACACACACGGGGAAATCATCAACGATCAGTTACTGATATAATTCCGCTATGGTTAACAAATATTGAAATCAATGCAAATATTCTCTCGTATTTCGCGTATGTTTTTATTGGGAAATAATAAAGGCAAATTTGCTACAAAGTTCGTTTATTTTAGATAAATTAGTGACCTTTTTCTACGAAAATTTTTCAGAATGTTTTAAAAAATATATTAGATAATATTCTAACTAACCACAACTCGTATGTGCCTAAGTATGTTCATAAGAAATAATATGAAGTTTATGGCAATTTATTGAGGAGACGTTTCGCCCACGAGAGACTATCAGTTCTTGTGAAACTGATAAAATGCCACAAACTACATAATGTGGTTAATAATCATATTCTCGGGTATATAATAATGTCATCGATATACATCGATATATTACAGAAACCTGTTATTAATTAGTCGAGACCTGGGTATCAAAGAACCTCTTCACACGACCACTTCGACTAAAGGCGCCCGCGTTATATGGCGCAACGATACTCAATTCATGACTGGCTAATAGTGGCTTCTCGCCGTAAACATTTACATTATTTTATAGTTTGGAACTTTGCCTCTTAATGGTAAAAGCTGCACGAGCCTGGGGGTCAAAGCGTCCATCAGAGAACCTCCAGGGACCTGTAACCTGGAAGACGAGCGTGGTGATGGGGCCCATCTGGTGATGGGGAAAGGTATTTGGTGATGGGGACATCTGGAAGATGCTATTACCGTAACGTATTTCCTACACATCACCTTAACCCGGCTTCTGCTCTACTCAGATGTACTGTACGTGTGTACCCAACACCTTAACCACTTCTTAACTATGCTACTTCTCTCTATCCTTCCCCAGGTATCACATCAACAGTTACACCAGCAGATTATCAACCCTCTCACCACATCAAAAACACCCCAGCATTAACATCCTAACAACTTCGTCCCCTACCATCCTGAACCACCTTCCAGCATCTCACCCTCCAGTGCATCTCTGACATCACCTTCACCTACAGGAAATCATCCGAGAGATGAACCGCGTGGGTCTGATGGTCGATGTCTCTCACGCCTCCAGCAGGACCTCTAGAGACGTGCTGGCCACCTCCCGCGCCCCCGTCGTCTTCTCACACTCTGCCGCCCGTGCCCTGTGTGACATAGAGAGGAACGTACCTGACGACATCCTCAGCTCCTTGGTGAGTAGAGATGCTGGCTTAGGTATCCTGGGTTCCAGGGTCTGTAAAGACCTGTATCCAGGGCTCCTAAAGATTTGTATCCAGGGTTCCTAAAGATTTGTATCCAAGGCTCCTAAAGACCTGTATCCAGGGACCTTAAAGACCTGCATCCAGGGTTCCTAAAGACTTATATCCAGGATCCCTAAAGACTTGCATCCAGAGTTCCTAAAAACTTATATCCATGGTCCCTAAAGTCCTGCATCCAGGGTTCCTAAAGACTAGTATCCAGGGTTTCTGAAGACTTGTATCCAGAGTTCCTAAAGACTTGTGTCCAGAGTTCCTAAAGACTTGTATCCAGGGTCCCTATAGACTTGCATCCAGGGTTCTTAAAGATTTATATCTAGTGTTCCTAAAGGCTTGTATCTAGGGGTTCCTAAAGACATGTATCCAGGGTTTCTACAGACTTGCATCCAGTGTTCCTAAAGATTCTTGCATCCAGTGTTCCTAAAGACTTGTATCCAGGGGTCCTTAAGACTCTTATATTCATGGTCTTTTAAGTCTCCTTGAGGCAAAAGTGTTCCTTGATCTCATTCTGTTTACTGGGCTTCTCCTGTTGTTTTTAATAATCTTGATCTTTTCTTCTGTCTCTTCATTCCTCACTCCTTGTGTTTCCTTTTTATTCCTCAAGCGCTGTATTTCTCATCATTCCTTATTCCTGCGTTCCCTCCTCATGCCTCTTCCATGTCTCCATTCCTTTAGTCAATCCTTGTCACTGTGTCTCTCTTTCTCGTCCTCCTTTCTGTGTTCCTAGTTGCTATTGCATCCAACAGGGAGAGCTCGGGTTACTTATCAAAACTACAAACCCAAGAAGGGTATCACAGCCACCAACACCACCAATACCACAACCAGCACCACCACCACCACCAGCACCACAAAAACCACAACCACCCGCACCACCACCCACAGGGTTAAGCCACAGGAAGTAACGCTTAACGCACTGGTCTGTGTGTTTTAGAACCTACTCGCCGTGGGTTCAAAACCCCACCCGTTCCTTGATTTGATTATCACTTAGTTTTACATGGAGAAGCTGCCTGAAGTGGGGAGGGTGAAGAAGAAGCCACAAAGAGTGGATTGTGGAGGAGCAGCTACGAGAGTGGAGTGTCTAAGAGCTATTACAAGTGTTGAGTGTTTTCAATAACATTCCCTCGGGACAGACGTATTTTACCCAGTAATTCTGAAATGAAAATTCATTCTCTGTCCTTCAAGAACATTTTTTCACTCCTTTCTTCTGTAATAACGTTCCCAGCTCCGCTCACCAGTAACGTTCTTCGCTACATCATTCGCTCGTTCAATAACTCCTTCGTTAAATAACAAAAAGGCACAATACCGTGACTGGAACGATACACAAATAACCCGCACATAGAAGAGAGGAGCTTACGACGACGTTTCGGTCCGACTTGGACCATTTACAAAGTCACATTAACATTATTGCAAACTAGAGGTGTGACAGGTGGTAACGAGAGGCGTGACAGGTGGTAACGAGAGGTGTGACAGGTGGTAACGAGAGGTGTGACAGGTGATAACGAGAGGTGTGACAGGTGGTAACGAGAGGTGTGACAGGTGGTAGCAAGAGGTGTGACAGGTGGTAACGATAAGTGTGACAGGTGGTAACGAGACGTGTGACAGGTGGTAGCAAGAGATGTGACAGGTGGTAACGAGAGGTGTGACAGGTGGTAACGAGAGGTGCTCTCCATTTCGTTAGTGTGACATTGTAAATGGGCCAAGTCGGACCGAAACGTCGTCGTTAACTCCTTCGTCCAATAACAATGTTCCTCACTCCGTTTCCTCGTAACGTTCCTCACTCCTTCGTCTCTCAATAACGTTCCTCACTCCATTCGTTCACCTGGAGCACAGCGAACGTTCTCTCAGAGGTGGTGAACGTGGGCTGCCACAACCTACACTCTCCACTGCAGATGGAACGATCTTAGACTTTTTTTTAGAGGCAGGATATTGTAATGTGTTGGTCTTGCTTCTAGAAGGAAGCAATGAATGTTTCAGGGGGAAGTTTGTGTGTCAGAAGCATTATTGCTAACGAGAAGTGTGACAGGTGGTAACGAGAGGTGTGACAGGTGGTAGCGAGAGGTGTGACAGGTGGTAAGGAGACGTGTGACAGGTGGTAAAGAGAGGTGTGACAGGTGGTAAAGAGAGGTGTGACAGGTGGTAACGAGAGATGTGATAGGTGGTAACGAGAGGTGTGACAGGTGGTAAGGAGACGTGTGACAGGTGGTAAAGAGAGGTGTGACAGGTGGTAACGAGAGGTGTGACAGGTGGTAACGAGAGATGTGATAGGTGGTAACGAGAGATGTGATAGGTGGTAACGAGAGGTGTGACAGGTGGTAACGAGAGGTGTGACAGGTGGTAACGAGAGGTGTGACAGGTGGTAACGAGAGGTGTGACAGGTGGTAACGAGAGGTGTGACAGGTGGTAACGAGAGGTGTGACAGATGGTAGCGAGAGGTGTGACAGGTGGTGACGAGAGGTGTGATAGGTGGTAACGAGAGGTGTGACAGGTGGTAATGAGAGGTGTGACAGGTGGTAACGAGAGGTGTGACAGGTGGTAACGAGAGGTGTGACAGGTGGTAACGAGAGGTGTGACAGGTGGTAAGGAGACGTGTGACAGGTGGTAATGAGAGGTGTGACAGGTGGTAACGAGAGGTGTGACAGGTGGTAACGAGAGGTGTGTAGGGGTGGTAACGAGAGGTGTGTAGGGGTGGTAACGAGAGGTGTGACAGGTGGTAACGACAGGTGTGACAGGTGGTAACGAGAGATGTGACAGGTGGTAACGAGAGGTGTGACAGGTGGTAACGAGAGGTGTGACAGGTGGTAACGAGAGGTGTGACAGGTGGTAAGGAGACTTGTGACAGGTGGTAATGAGAGGTGTGACAGGTGGTAACGAGAGGTGTGACAGGTGGTAACGAGAGGTGTGACAGGTGGTAGCGAGAGGTGTGTAGGGGTGGTAACGAGAGGTGTGACAGGTGGTAACGAGAGGTGTGACAGGTGGTAACGAGAGGTGTGACAGGTGGTAACAAGAGGTGTGACAGGTGGTAACAAGAGGTATGACAGGTGATGAGGATATGTGTAACAGGTGATAACGAGAGGTGTGACAAGTGGTAACGAGAGGTATGACAGGTGGTAACAAGAGGTGTGACAAGTGGTAGCAAGATGTGTGACAGGTGGCAACTAGAGGTGTGACAGGTGGTAACGAGAGGTGTGACAGGTGGTAACAAGAGGTGTGACAGGTGATGAGGACTGGTGTAACAGGTGGTAACGAGAGGTGTGACAGATGATGAAGAGAGGTGTGACAAGTGGTAACGAGAGTTGTGACAGACAGACAGATAGACAGACAGACAGACAGACAGACAGACAGACAGACAGACAGACAGATAAACAGAAAAGAAAGAACAACTCACTCGTTCCAGTAAATGAAAAGCTGATAGCGAAAGCCGTAGACTTTCACTGGCAGCTTCGCTGTAAGAACGTCTTCACCTCGTCCATTCACCTGTCAGACTTTCACATAGATTTAGAAACGAGTGTTTAGACGTTCGCATAAACGTGAAAGCTCGTTGTCAAACAGATCTAGAAGTTAACGTTTAGACATTCACATTCGTTAACAGCGTCAATTATCAACGGTCGTGTTGACTTAGAAATACTCTGTTATAAGATGCATTAGATTTAGAATGTTAGTTTGAGACGTTTTGAACGTTAGTTTGAGAATATGAATAAATAAGATAAAAACTGAAGACCTGATAAATACAACGATGACTGCTAAATAGAAAGATGATTGATAAATAGAACGATAACTGTGAAATAAAAACGATGACTGATAGATGGAATGATGACTGATAAATAGAATGATGACTGTGAAAAAATGATGACTAGGAAATAGAATGATGACTAGGGAATAGAATGATGACTGTGAAATAGAATGATGACTAGTAAATAGAATAATGACTAGGAAATAGAATGATGACTAGGAAATTGAATGATGACTAGGAAATAGAATGATGACTAGGAAAAGGAATGATGACCGTGAAGTAAAATGATGACTAGGAAATAGAATGATGATTAGGAAATAGAATGATGACTAGGAAATAGAATGATGACTAGGAAATAGAATGATGACTGAAAAATAGAATGATGACTGAGAAGATGAACGACGGCCTCTGATATCCTCTAAAATCCGTAAATCACCAGAACAACCAATTACCACTAATTACCAACTAGTGAATCTAGGAACGAGTCTTCGCTATTTCTAACTACCACTAGCAAAAAAAAAATCCTAATATACATCATTTCACTCACTCGAGTACAGTTGATAGAGGGGGAAAAAAGGGGGAAAAAAGGGGGAAAAAAGGGACACGCAAAAATAGATTTATCATAATGATTTAAAAGAGAAATATTCTCATTTTAAAGAGTCATTCTTTTTTTTAGGTAAATTATGATTTTACTCCGGCGGACAGACGTTGTTGTGTTGGTATAATAAATATGTGTAGATTTAATATGCTGTGAGGAGAGGGGAGATGGAGTGAGTAGATAGGGTTGGAGTGAGTAGATGTGAGTTGAAGTGAGTAGACTTAAGTTCAGTTAAACTGACATATCTGGTCTCTTTTACAGGCCGTGAACGGTGGCATTGTTATGGTCAGCTTCTACAACGAATTTCTCACTTGCGGACAAGAGGCATCCATCAACGACGTTATAGGTACGTTTTAAAAGACGTCTTGCTCAACTTATCTGCATGCACTCACCTATTTGTATTCACCTTTTTGTGGTTGAAGGGGTCGAGTCTTAGCTCCTGGGCCCGCCTCTTCACCGGTTGCTACTGGGCCCTCTCTCTCCCCGCTCCATGAGCTTTATCATACCTCGTCTTAAAACTGTGTATGGTTCCTGCCTCCACTACGTCATTTTCTAGGCTATTCCACTGCCTTACAACTCTATGACTGAAGAAATACTTCCTAATATCTCTCTGACTCATTTGTGTCTTCAACATCCAATTGTGGCCTCTTGTTTCTGTGTCCCCTCCCTGGAACATCCTGTCTTTGTCCACCTTGTCTATTCCACGCAGTATTTTATATGTCGTTATCATGTCTCCCCTGACTCTCCTGTCCAGCAGTGTCGTCAGGCCGATTTCCCTTAATCTTTCTTCATAGGACATTCCCCTTAGCTCTGGAACTAACCTTGTCGCAAACCTTTGTACTTTCTCTAGTTTCTTGACGTGCTTTATCAAGTGCGGGTTCCAAACAGGTGCTGCATACTCCAGTATGGGCCTGACATACACGGTGTACAGTGTCTTGAACGATTCCTTACTAAGGTATCGGAATGCTGTTCTCAGGTTTTCCAGGCGCCCATATGCTGCAGCAGTTATCTGATTGATGTGTGCTTCCGGAGACATGCTCGGTGTTATACTCACCCCAAGATCTTTCTCCTTGAGTGAGGTTTGCAGTCTTTGGCCACCTAGCCTATACTCTGTCTGTGGTCTTCTGTGCCCTTCCCTATCTTCATGACTTTGCATTTGGCAGGATTAAATTCGAGAAGCCATTTGCTGGACCAGGTGTCCAGTCTGTCCAGGTCTCTTTGAAATCCTGCCTGGTCCTCATCAGATTTAATTCTCCTCATTAACTTCACATCGTCTGCAAACAGGGACACTTCTGAGTCTAACCCTTCCATCATGTCGTTCACATATACCAAAAATAGCATTGGTCCTAGGACCGACCCCTGTGGGACCCCGCTCGTCACAGGTGCCCACTGTGATACATCATTACGTACCATGACTCGTTGTTGCCTCCCTGTCAGGTATTCTCTGATCCATTGCAGTGCCCTTCCTGTTATATGCACCTGATGCTCTAGCTTCTGCACTAATCTCTTGTGAGGAACTGTGTCAAAGGCCTTCTTGCAGTCCAAGAAAATGCAATCAACCCACCCCTCTCTCTCGTGTCTTACTTCTGTTATTTTATCATAAAACTCCAGAAGGTTTGTGACACAGGATTTGCCTTCCATGAATCCGTGCTGGTTGGCATTTATGCTCTTGTTCCGTTCCAGATGCTCCACCACTCTCCTCCTGATAATCTTCTCCATAACTTTGCATACTATACACGTCAATGACACAGGTCTATAGTTTAGTGCCTCTTTTCTGTCTCCTTTTTTTAAAAATGGGAACTACATTTGCCGTCTTCCATACCTCAGGTAGTTGCCCAGTTTCCAGGGACGTGTTGAAGATTGTGGTAAGTGGCACGCACAACATATCTGCTCCCTCTCTAAAGACCCACGGGGAGATGTTGTCCGGTCCCATTGCCTTTGAGGTATCGATGTCCCTTAGCAGTTTCTTCACCTCCTCCTCATCTGTATGTATGTCGTCCAACACTTGTTGGTGTATTCCTTGCTGGTGTCCCCATCTGGTCTGTCCCCCCAGAGTCCTTCCTGTCTCTACTATAAATACTTCCTTAAATCTCGTGTTGAGCTCCTCACATACATCTTGATCGTTTCTTGTGAGTTCTCCACCTTCTTTCCTCAGCCTTATCACCTGGTCCTTGACTGTTGTCTTCCTCCTAATGTGGCTATACAGCAGTTTCGGGTCAGATTTGACTTTCGATGCTATGTCGTTTTCATACTGTCGCTGGGCCTCCCTCCTTATCTGTGCATACTCGTTTCTGTGGGTCCTTGTTTTCCTGGGTCCTATGCCTCCTGTACCTTTTCCATTCTCTGTTGCACTTAGTTTTTGCCTCCCTACACCTTCGGGTAAACCAAGGACTCGTTTTGGTCTTCCTATTATTTCTGTTTCCCTTGGGAACAAACCTTTCCTCTGCCTCCTTGCACTTTGTTGCCACATACTCCATCATCTTGTTTACTGATTTTCCTATCATTTCTCTGTCCCACTGAACCTTCTGCAGGAAGTTTCTTATACCTGTGTAGTCCCCCCTTTTATAGTTTGGCCTGTCCCCTTCAGTTTCTGTTACCTTCTCCACTTGTAACTCTACTATATAATCAAAACTCAGAACCACGTGATCGCTAGCTCCAAGGGGCCTCTCGGTGAACACAAGATCCAGTCTTGCTGGCTCATCCTCCCCTCTCTCTCTGGTTGTGTCCTTGACATGTTGATGCATGAGGTTTTCAAGTACCACATCCATCATCTTGGCTCTCCATGTTTCGGGACCCCCATGTGGCTCCAGGTTTTCCCAGTCGATCTCCCTGTGGTTAAAATCGCCCATTACCAGTAACTTTGCTCTGCTCGAGTGAGCTCTTCTTGCCACCTCAGCCAGTGTGTCCACCATCACCCTGTTGTTTTCTTCGTACTCCTCTCTTGGCCTCCTGCAGTTCTGTGGTGAGTTATACATCACTCCAATGACTACTTTATGTTCTCCGGACTGAATTGTACCTACAATGTAGTCTCTTTCTCCAATCATGTCCATGCCTTCCATTTCCTCAAATCACCATCGGTGTTTTATGAGCAGTGCAACCCCTCCTCCCCCTCTACTCCTTCTATCTTTCCTCAGGATCTGATATCCCGTTGGGAAGATTGTGTCTGTTATTGTCTCAGCGAGTTTTGTTTCTGTGACTGCTATGATGTCTGGGGATTTTTTACTGATTCTTTCGTTCCACTCCTCATGTTTATTCGTTATTCCATCCGCGTTTGTGTACCAAACTTTCAGTTTCTTTTCTATCATTGTGGTCATGCAAGAATATTGGGGTTGGGGGAGCGAGAGCCTTGGTGGGGGCCTATATGGGCTGTGGTGTAGGTGGGGTTTGTGATGATGGGGGTGGGGTCAGAATGCCCATAAGGGACAGCTGTTGGGGTGAGGTTTGTGATATGGGGGTTGGTGGCAGAGGGAACAGTGAGTGGGTTGTAGTATAGGTTGCTCAGTTGCGTTGGGAATGTCGCGGTTGGAGTCTTTTGGTGGGAGATTCTGTGGGGTGTGTTTGCCCTTCCTCCTGTGTCTGGGTCCTGCTCATCATCGTCATTGCCTCTCGTTCCTCCTTGCGTCTCTGTACCCTCTCTTTCAGTGTAGTCCTTTCTTCTTGTGTTCTGTTGCGGTCGAGGTATACTCTCTGGTACCCCTGTTTGTCCCTCAGTCTTGCTTTCTCTTCCAGAATCCTGGTTCGAACTGATTCTTCCTTGAAAATTACTTTGACAGGCCGTATCCTTCCACTCGCAAACCACCCAATTCTCTGAAAATTTGTCACCTGGGTCATATCGCCCTCACCTATTGTTTTCATGATGCCTTCAATCATTTTTTTCTCCTCCTGTTTTATTTCTTCAAAGTTGTCCCCCTTGGCTTCTTGGAGCCCGTACACAAAAACTGACCTCGCCCTTTCCTCCTCCCACTGAGTCTCCATCTGCGTCCTCTGAGGCATTTTATTTCCTTCCATTGACATGTTCTTGCCTTCAGTCCCTGTCATATCTGAAACTTCTATTCTCAGTGAACTGTCTTCCATGACCAGCTGTCCCTTGCTACTGCAGTTGGCTGTTAGAATCTCTGCATATAGCATTCTATCATTGTCTTCGGACCTGTCATTTGATCTTAGTGTGCTCCTCGTCTTTTCCCTGGCCCCACGTGGGTCTGATAGGGCCTTCGCGTACGGCATGTCTCCGTTGTTGCTGTTGTGAGTGTGTGTGTGCTGGTGTGTGCTGGTGTGTGATGCGTGTGTGATAGTGAGTGCTGGTGCATGATGGTGTGTGGGAACGGGACATGTGTACTAGCATCATGAAGTCACAGTATGTTTGACATCTGCAGTCATCAAGCGAAGGAGAGTTTCGTCAGATATATTACCAGCCAACTAATTTCATCCATATGTCGGAGTTCATCCTAATTCATCCTAGTTCAACCGGAAAGCTTTACCTCAATCTTGGCATTAGGAGCCAGTCAATAGTCTTCTGCAGCGCCATCCATCAATAATTATCTGACTTGAAGCTCACTGAAGCTCCCGGCTCACAATCCACGAAACTTTGGTTCAAACACTAGGAAAGACAGACATATGTCCAGGAGGTCTTTCTATTAACCTGCTTACTGAGCTCACCTGAGGAAGAATCGTGCCCTCATAACTTCCCCAGGTGACCAGCAGAGGTTACATACAGGTCATAGAGGTCACTCAAAATAGCATACTAAAATGGCATGAAGAATTAATGGGTTAGAGTCAGTGTTAGTTCATATATATATATATATATATATATATATATATATATATATATATATATATATATATATATATATATATATATATAATATATATATATAATATATATATATATATATATATGCAATAAGATCACAGTAAACAGGTGATTTCAGAATATGCAAAACAACCACTCTGAAAGAAGAGAGAAATTCCAAGCGCTTTCGTGACTACTCACATTATCAAGGAACTATAGTTCCTTGATAATGTGAGTAGTCACGAAAGCGCTTGGAATTTCTGTATTCTTTCAGAGTGGTTGTTTTGCAAATATACATATATATATATATATATATATATATATATATATATATATTATATATATATATATATATATATATATATATATATATATATATATATATATATATATATATATATAATATATATATATATATATATTGCTGCGAATAAGCCAAATTGACAATTTAGGTTACAAGGGCAGCGGACATTTTTCCGAATAATTAGAGTGGAAATTTATGTCTCCAATAAATCAGCGAAAAATCATTTGGAACATGACGGGGGAAAATTATACAT